TCAAAACAAACAAACAATATAGACTGGTGTGCTGAGCAGTAAAACTTCTTTAGCAATGTTTAGGGGCAGAAAGAAAATTGAGATGGCTTTGTGTGAAAAGAGGTAAGACCATATCAGAATTATAGGATTACTTACCAATAACTTCAGCTTTAAGACGAGCAGCCAAGAATTTACGATAAGCCAGTGTTTGAGGGTCAACATTCTTTACGTCATTACCTTGACTAACAACACTACGTGCTGCTCGAGAGGACTTTGGTCGTTTCTGAGTGGTAGTCTTTTCATAATTAGAGAGTCGTTTCTCTCTTTCCCGACGTTTTAGTTCCAGAAGCTTATCACGCTGCTGACGAAGGTATTCCTGTCTAGCTTCAAACTCTTGAGGTTTTACCTGAAATGTAAATATTTGTAAAATCTTTACTGAAAGACAAATATATGTTTACCAGCAATGTAAGTACACATTATTCTTACAGACTAAATCAGAGAATAAAATATTTACTTCTATTTTTTTCATATTTATCTTTTGTTATTAAAAATATTACTATCAAAATTTATTTAATACAATTATAGCGTTGTTTTTAAACCACATTTTTAATGTTTTAATTTAGATGTTGTTTGAGGGTACATGACATTAAGATCACATACATTTATAAAAGTACTCCTAAAATATCTAGAATGTTCCTGAATGTTACTGACTGAGACTTTGTGAAAGAGGTAGAAACAAGAGTACATTATAAATACAAAAGTAGTGAAGCATTGAGCTGAGTTAGAAGAATGTAAGCGAAGTATTTAGTTTCAGTTTGTTTAGTGATTGAGGAGTTAGTGAAATATTCAAATTAGAGTTAGTTATCACATTCATTCAGTTACATGATCGATTAGCCAAGAAACTGTACAAGTAAGTTTATTTGTATGTTAGTCATAGTATCATTAGCAAGTGAATTTCTGTTGCAAGTGAAAACATTATTTGTGAACTACCTAAAACTGTGTACAAATAATAGTAACTTGCAGCAAATGTTAAAGAAACAAACTAATTTGTTATTGTTATGTGGACTGGACTTGGGCCTTATTATCATGAAATAATTTAAAAGAGCCCATCCTATTATAGAATACATAGTTAAAGAAATCTGAATTTTAAATATTCAAGATGCTTAGATGGCAAGTATTAAAGATAGAAATACATGTTTTAAATGTAACTGTACTGCCAATATTTCCCAGTAACTAAATCTTAAGTAATAAAAATTATAAAAATAATCTGTCAAAATTATTTTTCTTAAATAATGCTAATCTTTTCATAATTAGATATTTTTATTTCTCTGAAAGGGGGCTAAAAGCCCCCTGAAGGAGTCACCTGTTTTAACCATTTGTACCACTGTGCAGTAGTGTGTTGTCTATCAGTCAGTCAGTAGACACTAAAATGACATCACATAAGGGATGCTTAATGTCGCAATTTGTACTGTCGTGACATCATTAAAACGTGTGCATGCCATGAATCACGAGAAGAACTATGTATTCTGTAGGCTACAATACTGCATGACATACGAACTTGAAAACCAAAAATAAAAATACTTCTTACTCTTAATTTTGGTTTTACTTACTCTTGAAATAGAACACTTTCTGGGACTCTGCAGAAGTATATCTAGTAGTCAATGCGTTTGGACATAACCCAGCAGGTAAGTTTGAACTTGTTTAAATTGTGAATACATACAGATTTTCATATGGATCTTTATATAAAAATAAGATCCATCACAGATCTTGCCCCATTCAATAGCCATAAACAATTGGACAATTTTGAGTGCTAATCTGCTGGACTAACAGATACCAACAGCTTGTATGAAAATAAAATATTCACTTCAAAAATTAATTATCATGTTAAAAAGGATATGAAAATTTATTCATAACATTATGATGTTTAAGATAATTTCTTTGAAGCTTCAGCAATAAAACCAAACTATCCATTTTACAACCCATTTCAAAAGGACTGGCTTTGACAACATCAAGTAACCTTTAGGTTAAGAACCATAACAACTATCAAGCATTAGTAGTCACCTCATTCAACATGTTAAGAGTGTCACACCTGAAAAAAAGTATCCAAAGCAATGTCCTGAAACAGAGTACATAGAACAGAAGATACCTTAGTCATACTTGGAAAGATTTGCCCAATTATCATACATGGAAGCTTCTTGTGAAATGATGGATTCACTGACACGAGATCAAGTAGTCTGAAAAAGATTAACTGTACATTTTTAAAGGAAGCTCTGCAGTTGGGGATGGAACCTGAATCCATTAAAATGATAGTTAAACTACTAAAGACACATCTCAAGGTTATGGAATGGTCAGATTGAGTAGTGTTGAAACATCAGCTCCCTCTGATGACAGCTTAGAAGAACTAAAAGGACTAGTTAGACAACTAGTGACACAGAATTGAAGGAATAAATGAAAAGATAATAAGTACTTCAAGTGTAACTTGAAAGGACATATCACCAAGACCTGCAGAAAGGGGAAACTGTTATAAATGTGGTAAATCTGGCAATTACAGCCAAGACTGTAAGAACTCAATGACTGTTATTAAGCCAAAATGATAGAGCTTAACAAGATTAAAGGAACAACACAGAGCTTATGTAATATCGTGAAAACAGGAATCAGATGGATTTATGAAGTGAACTATGCTATAAATACTCTATCTACCACAAACAAGTAAAAAAGTTCATTATTTGAAGAAAATCATCCATGAGTCCACAGGTTTATTGATGGAAAACCTTGCAGTTTGCTGACTGACACTGGTTCTACAACTACAACTCTTCCTCCCAATTTCTTAATAAAATGGGAAATTACCTCCAGAGAAGAAGAAAGAGGAGGGATTGAATAATACAGCAGGTAGACATAAAGTTCCAGCAAAACAGAAGTTAGAACTTACCCTAAGTGTAGAAAGCTTTTCTATGACTCATGATTTGTAGGTAATCCAAGAAATCCTTATGTACTACATGGCAATTATTACACCAGAGACTGAATTTCCAGAGGAAACAGGAACAGTGGTCATGGTACCACCAAGAAGTGAAATACTCAGACCAGGGATTATTAGCAATGATTCTTTGTCTAGTAACTGGGGTGTAGTGCAACCAAATACTCTGGTGTGTCCTGAGGAACTGGTAGTTGTAAGAGCTCTCTTAGATGGGAAGGATAAAAATGTTGTACATGACTTTATCCAGGAAGACTTAAATTGGTTTGTAATAAAGTGAGAAGTAACTATGATATAAGTGCTAATAAAACTGGATTTCATCAAGAAGACATGTTACAGCTGAACAATTCTCATCATGAAAGAAGACAAACTCTAAAGTTAAGTAGGCATTTGGAGGAGAGTCTATCCAAATAAAAGGTCATCCACTGTGATCATCTTTGAAAGTACATTGGTGAAAGAACAGTCAAATGGGTAATTCTAGAGAAGAACTTCTCAGTGGAACCTCAACCTTCAGAGGCGCCTGGATTACTGATGAGACTACTTCCAGAAGATCATAAAGGATGGAGCCACCAGTGGATTCATTTGACCACCTATCTAGCAGAAACTCCCTCAGTGACAGACAGCCAGTGTCAACAAGGGATAAGATACCATTCCATTCATATACAATGGACCTTAGAAGAGAAAACAATCAAAATGACTTCATGAATGGACAAGTTAGTGTAGTGTTTTATTTTTTGTTTTAGGATTTTCCAAGGGATTTAATACTCTAGGAAGATGGCAGTGTTAAAGCTACATTTTTAATGATAAAACGAAACATGAACGTAATAACAGAAAGCATTTATTGGATGTTTCAGAATCTTCATAATTCCATCATCAGTAATCTAGGGGTACAAAACAAACAAACAATATTTGTAATTACAACAGAAATATATATATACATAAGAAATAAACAATTCGAATATACAAATATAACACAAGAAAATGAAAAACTGAGGCACAAGTGAAACAGTTAAAATAGGTTTAAATACAGTGTGTGTTATTTAGGGACGGGAGAAGAGTTTTTATTTACAATGTTTCTTTTATAAAAAGTTCAGCATCATGTTTGGCTATTGAAAGAATTTTAAAGTTTGGGAGAGAAATAAAATGTGCTGTTTCTGCATTGTGTTGATAGATAGTGGAGTTGGGAGGGTTTGTAAATTTCTTCCAGTTTTCATTTTCTCATGCTATATTTGTATATTCAAATTGTTTATTTCTTATGTATATATTTCTGTTGTAATTACAAATATTGTTTGTTTGTTTTGTACCCCCTAGATTACTGATGATGAAATTATGATGATTCCGAAATGTCTAATAAATGTTTTCTGTTATTACGTTCGTGTTTTGTTTTATCATTAAGCTACGTTTTCTGAAAAATGAGTCAATTACTTATATTTTTAAAGCTGTAATTTGCTAACTAGAGGGAGCTGCAGTTTTAATGACAATGTTAAGATAGGTCTGGAAAATTCTAATTTGATGTTGAGTTTTCCACATACATTTGAAGCTAAATTATGAATACAAGATATCTTGAACAAAGTATCTCGATAAGTATGACAGCAAACACAAATCCAAATACTTCACAAAAACACACTGGCTGATTCAACCCTACTATTTTCTTTTAAAAAAACAATAAAAACATCACTGGGAACTAATCTTATGTTAATCCTAATATTTTTTAGAGAGGTTTGAATGTGTCATTTGTAAAGTAAGCCTACAACAATTAATGGCTAATTTGTTATAGTTTAAGTGAAAACTTTCAATTCTTTTCACCAGACATTTTAAAAGAACTTTCAAATGAAAGAACAATGATACAGTAATACTACTTCATTAAAAGCATTAACATAACTCTCCCAACTGTCTAAGTTTCATGTATAATTTGCGTGGTCACATGAACTTGTGTCACATTGTGAATTGACTACCATATTGTTATTTGGGTGTGGTTTACTTGTATCTGTTATAACTATTAAGTTTGATGTAATCTGTAATTAATTTTACTAACTAGTAAGCTTATTTATTTATGAAAGTTTCAGATGTGGCTAAAAGTTGACCTATACCATTAGGATGATTATAAAAACTACATTCTTTTGGGAATTTATACAGGTTCAACAATGGTAAGTGAATATCATCTAAGCACCATAAAAAAATCATAAACACATACTTAAGGTTGTTTTTTAACTTGTTTGTGTTCAGAGTAAGATGAAGGGTGGAATTCCTCAAAACCAATTTAACTATGTGACAAGTGATGAACCGAATGACAGACTAGGCTTCACGTTTTTTTCTTGCTAAAATTCACAGTTTTATTGATGAGAAAAAAATATATTGATGTTCTTTGCTGCTTAAAATGTAAAAAAAAAAGATTTAATATTTTTTTTTAATTTTTATCAAACTATTTGTGACTTCTAAAGTTAGATAAATGTACTATATGTGTAGATTTTAGCACTCTACTGATGTTGATATTAACTATTTTTGTGTTTTTATGAATAAGCAGCTAGGGTGTGACACTATTAAATGTTTTCCTTTTCATATGTTATGTGCAGTGAACAGACTTCTAAATGCTTTGAAGCTTCTGGACTTTAGTCTTACATAAATAAGTGATTTTTCTTACCATGTTCTTAAATTTTGCACTCTTCTATGTAAGCAACTAGAAATCCTGTGGTAGACCAACCAACACAATGTTGAAAAGTTTCTGTTCAAGTTGAAATAATGTAAGTAACCCACTTTAACATACATATATCTAAACACATTTGTATATAGATACACAAACTTTTGAGAAATAAGATTAAGTAGAGAATCATTGTGTATTTCAGTATTAGCTGCAATTATATTGTAAGGTCTTTAAATGTTTTTATTTTACCCTCAAGTTCTCAAAAGTTTGATCATCAATGAAATATTTTTAATATATGGCACTGGCTATTGCACAATAATCAGCATATATCCATGTATATATTGTTGCGTCAGCGAGGTCACGTGACTAGTGTCATGCCACATTTCTAGAACTATCCTGTTCCTTCATGAATGCCCTAGCATTTATTAGGTATATGTTAGTCTGGTATATATATAAGACGCTTACAATGTGATGGGACAATGTGTGTAGGTAGTGAGTAATTGAACTGCAGTCAGAAAGTATTGTTGAAGTTAACGTTCATTGTTAAAACGTTTGTTATAGAGCGACTGTTGAAATTAAGTGTATCGTAAAGTTGTATTCGGAAAGAATAAACCAGTTTTATTAAGTAAGGAGTTGTGTCGCTAAAGTTTCGGAAAATCAATTAACGACTGGAGGCGTAACAATATATATTACTTCAGCAAGTTTTCTATTTGCATGATATTAAATACTCTTCCTTACATTCAGTTAGATGACTGTGCATGAATGTGTCTACGTATGTGATGGTAGACTACTAGAAAATGCATGATATATTAAAGAACAACTAAGTAAGGATAATTTGGTGGGGAAAAATGTGAGTCAATATAAATTATCCTTCAAAATCTTGCTTACGATTGGGTTATTATCTTCTTCAGTATTACTTGCTGGAGTTACTGGTTTATTTTGCTCATGGATGGACATCATCATAGCCTTGAAAAGAAAAAAATTAACTATTACTTTTAATAATTGACAGAATACCCAATATGGATAAGTGATTAAATGTATAGCTAAAAGCATGTACCAAAAAATATAGTTTGAAGGTTGATAACAGACAGATAGAATAACTATTTTGTGAGACTGCTTAGAAGATGTTTTATATCAGCAGTATGAAAACCAAAGAAAGTATTCATTTTTCTTACTGATAAACACTTAATTTTGCACAAGCTGATAGTATAACATACAATAGCTCCAGGCAAAACCTAAAATAGTTTAAATACTGTTAAGTCAGTTAAAATTATACCAAAAATTGTTAAGTGTAAAGAATATAAAAATAACTGGAATCTATTTTAAAGGTTCAAGTTGCTAGGAAATTATTTCATTGATACTACAAATTAACTGCAGTAATGTGTTACAATATTCTAACATACATCTGTCAGCTAGAAGATAAATAATTAAAAGTATTGTATTTTTCACTTTAAACAAAACCTTTTCAATAAAACACAATCATTTCCAAATAATACAGCATGAGTGGTAAGTTTAATATTCTAAAACTTCACATTCTTCCTTCGTTTTTTGAAGATTTTCTTTTTCATAAATAAGTGTCTAGATTGAAGGATCTCTATTTAACACAGAAAAAATGTTTATTAAACAAATGGTAGTGTTTCGAAATATGTAGCATAGACCAGTGATCCCCAGATGTATTTTTGCCAGTCCACAGAAACATATAGTGAATACATAATTCTAAATTCTTTCAAACTTGTTGGCCCGGCATGGCCAGGTGGTTAGAGCGCTTGACTCGCAATCTGCGGGTTGCGGGTTCGAATCCCCATCCCACCAAACATGCTTGCCCTTTCAGCCATGGGGACATTATAATTTGACAGTCAATCCCACTATTCATTGGTAAAAGAGTAGCCCACGAGTTGGCGGTGGATGGTGAAGACTAGCTGCCTTCCCTCTAGTCTTACACTGCTAAATTAGTGACGGCTAGTGCAGATCACCCTTGTGTAGCTTTGCGGGAAATTCATTACAAACAAACAATCAAACTTGTTCTTCCAATCCTGAGTGTATAACTACCTTTGTACTTCTTAATAAAGATCATATACTGTAGTACAGGCCTATATATCCCTAACAGTACATATTAAAAGCTTTTAAAATTTAGATTTTGCCAGTCCATGGAGTAAAAAAAATTGTGAACCATTGGCCTAGACCAATAGTATGTTTACTTTAATGTATAGAAGAAGAATTGTATCAGATTTTGGAAAATATATAAAAACCACCACACTGTGAACATGATATATTTAACATTTTCATATTACAATCATTATTATCTTGTTCAAAAGTAAATGCAAAAAATATGAAAAGATTTGATATATTGTATCAGCACATAATTTACATTATTGTTTCATTATTTTATATAAATGCAAAATACATACTGTGGAGAAACTTTTATTATTATTATACAAACTGGATTGTATTATATGAGCATACATTTTTAGAATTTTTGACAGTTGTGTGAAAAAATTAACATTAATTTATGTCATTAAGGCACTTTATTGTTTTAAAGACAAAGTGCTTTTACTTTAATTTGAAACATTGTTCAAAAACCATGTTCATGGAAGGCACAAAAGATACACATTTGTAATAAAACATGATCTGTTTCAAGCACACGATTAACACTACTGTTATACTTAGCCCTATTTCTTACTTTTAACATCAATAATAAACCACAACTGAAATTTATTATATTACTAATACAACTGTAGAACAACAAAATCATGTATTTTACTCAGGGGTGAAATTCTGCAGGTACTTACCGGTACTGAGTACCAGAACTTATTTTTTAAGATGGTACTGGTACTTATTTGAGCTGTTTTGTCATTTTTTATTTTTAGACGTAGATTTTTTCTTTTTCAAAAACAGGTCTACTTCATTCAGCTGTGTAGCTTTGATGCAAATATAGTAAAATCAGGGGTGAAATTCTCAAAACAAATTAGTGTTTTTGAAAAGTAAACAAAAATTCCAGCACAAAGATACTCCTCTGAAGCTAAGAAACAGTGTTTTACCACAGCTCATGGTTCTATGCTCTGAGAAAGTAAAGCTTAATTTATAAGTGACTAACCTTTTCCAGCATTTCTTTTTCTCTTTTTTGCTCATTCTCCAGTCGAGTTTTTTCAATTAATGTAGCTTCAAGAGTTTTTCTCAGATTTTCTTTTTCTGCTAGGTCCATGTGAGCTTTATGCTCTTCCAATGATTTTCTAGCATAAAAAATATAATAATAATAGTTCATGTATTTATAGCTTTTTTGTGCTTTATATTTCATAGGATTACCTTAAACTTTTAAGTAAACTGTTAATATGCTTTTCACACTGTAAAACTTGCTACAAGAAATTATGCATAAACTTGTACATATTATTCTTGCATACACTGTTTTCTGACAGCAATGTGTAAGTTATATATACAAGGTAATGGATACTTAATTTCCTTTGCAAATTCAGCAATAGTGCACTGTATTTTAACATCAGCAATGAGAACATATTTTATGATACTATATATATTTATTCTTTTTATATTAATGCCCTCTTCTAGCATAAAGTTTCAGTTAATTATGTCTACATGCACAAATAGTAGCTCTTATTGAAATTAAGATGTTAAGAAGTGATTCTGCAACATACAATAAACAAATGTATATGTGTAAAGTATGTGAAAAATGTGACCAAGAGAAATGACTAATAATTAAGATACACAAATTACTTGATAACAGTTTCCATGATTTCCTCTTCTTCCTTGCTTGGAATGTAATTGGTATCTGGAACAAGGCCAATGGTAACAACACCATGGTAACGTGCAAGTATTTCCAAGGCTTGTAGCTGAAGCTCAATGTTCTTTTGCATCATCATTCGTTTGAAAATTTCATAATCATCTGCTGCCCAGACTTGCTCAAAGAGGCTCTGAAATGCATCCAACTTAGTATTAATTCCTGCAACAACATACAATAAACATCCAACTATTTTAACAATATACAGTACCAGTGCTGTACAAATGCCAATGAAAGCCCTCGGGAAAGAATATTTACTCATCTCCACAGACAAACACTACTAATGTTATTAAGTAAAAGAATATACTAAACTGATAAATTTGACATAAATCAAATCAAATCAGGTTTTGAAAGTGTAAATTTTATGTATCTTACAAATAGACCTATATGAGTTAGGATTAAGTGTTATCAGATGGGTCCTGGTCACAAAAAAGTGATCCTTTCAAAGGATTGAGTTGGGTGAGGTGAGCCCTTGTGGGTTCTGTCCCATCGATATATGTGCACCACTATATAGTACACATGTGCAAATTTAGCAGGAGAATTTTGATTAGTAAAACAACATCTGGGGTAACCACTCTTTCTTAAGTCCAAATGCTTAATGTTTAGCATAGTTAATGTAATGATATAAGTTGAAATGCTCCTCTGGTTTTTTATGTAGGGTCACAGAGTTTACAACAAGATACAAAATATTACTTTTACAAAAATTGGAGGAAAATATTTTCTGAAATGTTATCATTTAAACCACACAATAATTAAAATAAAAAGATATAAACAAGTTAAGAAATATTACTAAATTATCAAAATATGATTATAAACTTTAAAATAGGTAAAAAAAAGGGTAAGAAAGAAGTGGCATTTGAGCATAGGGATGTAAATGGTAGTTTGAATTAAAGTGTTATCTTTCATTGTTATTACCATAGAAACAGATAAAATAGGGTAAACCAAAAAAGTTACATCAATATCAGCAGATATCAGTTATTACTCTAAGGACATTTGGTTAGTGGAGTAAATGGTTAGTGAAATTCTAGAATGTAAGAAATGTCAATCTTGATCTGGGAATTAATATTTTTTTATATAAATAATAAACTACATTGTTAAAGTTTTGAGTCAGTATCCTTTATTGTGAAAATAATCTTTAAGTTTTATTATTTTGGTTCAAAAGATGTCTTGATTACTGCATGTACAATGTAACCTTGAACACTTTGAGTAATGAGTTGAGTGAGGCTGTCACAAATAAAAGTGTAAATCAGTGGGTTTGTAGGCCAGTTGTAACTATTAACACATCAAGGAATTTAAAAAGAGATGTAAGAAATGGTGATATATATATATTATTAAAAGTAGTTTTATATAATTTACAAACTTTCAAGATTATTTTTTGAAATGAAAGATAATCCCAGAATATTATTAAGATGTGTGGTATTTTCGGTTCTGGAGCAAATAGTTCATTTATAACTTCATTTTTCCCAATTTCCTTTATCTATGGTGATATGAAAAAAAAAACATTAACAGCACAACCTACATGAGGCAGTAGAAGTTTACCACTTCATTCGGTTTTATGTTGATGCAGGTAGGCTAAAACCAAGTCATAACTGAAAAACATAACAGTTAGGTTAATTAACGTGTCTTGAACACAGCCTAGCTATAAATATCACTAGTTTAGTTAATTTAGACTGATAGGCAGGCCTAGCTTAGTCGAACAGTTAACGTATAATAATCAATAATATTCCCTTTTCATTAATCTGTATTGTTTGAAAAAGAAGAATTATTAGAAAGGAAACGAGTTTTTAAAAAATGTTTTTTTTTAAAATTAAAAGTGATTTTTATTATAGGTATGAATAAATAATGTTTTGAGTAAGATTTATGTTGTTCAAGTAATACTAACAATTAAATATGTACATATACAAAAAATGGAATTTATTACAAATACATGCACATCTGTAGACCAAACTGTATATTTAATCATGAAGTAACACTTATCTTGTACAACAAAAATAATATGCATAAGCAGGCAGTGGCGTATCTGAGATATGGCATGTACCCTGGGCACCACTTGAAGGTGGCGCCACTGAGTAGTTTCTATTAAAGTCAGACAAGCCATCCTCGAATAATGAAAAAAGAATTTTCTTCAGATGTATGATCTGTCTTTGATTATCATGGGTGAGAAGCACTAGGATGGCCGGATTGTTAAACCACTTATATAAATTATTAGGTAAAAATACAGTGCTGGGAGCAACATGACCACATACCTCATAGTACCACTCCTCAGTGCCAACTGGAAGTAAGACCATTCTCCTGCGCAAACTAGGGAGGTGGTCCAGAATTTTGTGCAAAATCTATGAAATTTAATGTTCTTATTTCAGAGCATTGTGTAAGAAGACCATGAAATGCTTCTTCACGAAAAAGAAGGAAAGTGGAGCTGAAGGATGGAAGAGACGAAAGTTGGAGGCAGAGGAAGCCAAGAAGTCGAGCAAGTTGTTCATGCACTTCTTTGAAAAGCCCAGAACAAGTAGTTCAATAAGTTCCATGGAGTCGCCTGCACCAGCTACAAGTTTGTTAGTATCCGAAGGTGGATCAAGTACAAATGCATCACAAGCTGAGGAGAAAGTCAAGTCAGATAAATCCGAGTATAATGAGATTAAGAGTGAGGCTGCCAGAGAGAACGTGGACATGACACGAAGGGAAGACGATGGTAGTGGTGATGTTAAGTTTATTGATGAGATTTTATCTGACAAGATTGAACCTGACGACACTGAACCTAGTGAACTGGATGGTGTCGAAGAGCCTCAAATTGTCATACCAGAAGTGATTGAACAGCATGACATTGGACTTCTGAAGTTCGACAAGGATACTGGAAAAGTAATTCTGCCTGACATGTTGAGAACAGAAATAATAAAGCTGGGTTCGAAGTATTTCCAGAACAGTGAGAAGCCTTTCTTACCAACAAATTACTGCTCAATGAACAAAACTTGGTTCAAGAGGAAATTGGGAAATGGTCATGGTGAGGAAGTAACTCGCTCATGGCTGGTCTATTCCCCTTCTAAAAAGTCTGCATTTTGTATCTGTTTTCTTCTCTATTCCCTGTCAGACTATCAATCCTCATTGGAGCAGGAAAGTGGATTCAACCAATGGAAAGCACATGAAAGGATTAGTGTTCATGAAAATGTTAAGAATCATCATTTAGCTGAAAACAGATGAGTTATAGACAAGGAATTTTAGTCACAAACTGAAAAGGAAAAGCAGAAGTGGCATGATATCTTGACGAGAATCCTTCACTGTATAAAATTCATTGCAACTCAGAACCTGGCTTTGTGAGGACACAGGAAGTCACTTCAGCTAGACGATGACTCCAATGTGGGAAATTTCCTCTGCCTACTGAAACTACTGGCCATCTTTGACCCTGTCATGAAAGAACATCTCATCGTGTGGAAAGTCATCCTGGATCCACATCTTATCTTTCACCGGTTGTCCAGAACGAATTCATCCACATGATGGCATCCACTGTTCACCAGAGTTTACTGAGAAGCATTTGTAAAGCCAAGTACTATGATCTCATGTTCGACTTGAATCCTGATCAGGCACACCGTGAGCAGATGTCAGAAGTAGTGAGGTATGTGGAAGCTGATTTTGAGAGGAAAACAGTCCGTGTTGGAGAGTCGTTCCTTGGTTTCATCCAGATAAGACAGAAGGATGCTGAGAGCTCGGTTGAAGACATCTTGAAACAGCTAGAGAAGGACGAAATGGAGCTACAAGATTGTTGGTCACAGTGCTATGACAATGCTGCTGTGATGACTGGACACAGAAGTGGTGTTCATCAAAGAATAAGTGAGAAAAACAACCTGGCAGTGTTTGTGAATTGTGACATTCACTCACTCAAGTTGGTGGGTGCACATGCAGCCAAGCAGGACACAATGATGGTCACATTTTTTGGAATCATCGAAGCTCTCTACATATTCTTCTCTCGTTCAACAGAGCACAGGGAAAAACTAAAAAATGCTGTGCCTGTGGTTGTTAAGTCGCAATCTGAAAGAGGTGGAGTGCAAGGACAGTAGCAGTGAAGCCCATCAACAAGTACCTTGAGGAAATACTTCAAGTTCTCCAGGACATGATAGACAATGAAAATGAGACCAGTGAAACAAGAAATGATACAAGGCAGCTTAATAACCACATGTTGAGTTACGATTTTCTGACCTTGCTAGGATTTTGGAACAAAGTACTCATTCGCATTGACTATATTAAAAAAAGGCTGCAGGATCGTAGCATGAACTTCCACAATGCTGCACTGGATTGGAAAGCCCTCTGAGATCATTTTGATAATGAAAGAGAAGTGTTGGTCAGTGAGTCACTCGAAGAAGGACTCGGTCTCTGTCAAGAACGGAATACTGAGGAAATGGAAAGAGTCATGAAGGGAACACTCGACCATCTTCACAGAGAAATGGATGAAAGGTTCGCTCGTTTGCATGACACTGACACCAAGTTTGGGTTCCTTCTCGATGTCAAGGGACTGTGTTATGGCCCCGACAGTAACGACCTAAAGAAGTGCAACAATTTGGACAAATTGTACAGCTCTGATGTTTATGGACAGCAGCTATATGAAGAAATTTTGGATTGCAGAATGTTGCTATTAAGTCGAGCCAACATGAAAATATCAAGACCCGAAGAGCTTCTCCATTCTTCGCATTGCTATTCAGATAATGCTAACCATCGCAGTTTCCATTACCAGCTGTGAGAGATCATTCAGCAAGTTAAAACTAATACCTTC